TGCCGACGTTCTTGATGAACCAGGTAGGAGAGGCAAAGCTGAAGGTGCAGGCCAGAGCCGTACACACGGACAAGAAAGTCCAGATCACCTGGACGACTGTCACAACTATAGCCATCTTACGGTACACTTAACGGTACACCTGTCCACTACCCGCTGTCTCCACACAAAATCCTGGGTAAAGACGGGATGATCGCGGGGTTTTCTCCCGAAATGTCCGACGCAGTGAACCGACACAGCAGTAACACACTACAGACTTACACAGGAGAGTCTTCTTACATGCCTGCGTGCTCTTGGGCAAGTCTGAGCCAAATAAAATGCCCGCTCAAGTGTCTCAAACAAAAGAAAATTGGTTCCACTGATTTCAAGCTGGCATGACACCACCGCAGTTCGGTTTCACCTCAGTACCTATCGGTTTCACGTCAAACAGCGAATCAAAACATCCTTGTAAACTCTCTCCTAGATGTGCCGTGCGTTGCCAACGCGTGCTCCCCTCCAAAATAATCCATTTCACCGCTCTTGGGCTAGTTTTGTCGAGGGAATACCCCGCTCTCCGCAGGAGAACCTGCCCCTTGCAGCTTACTTCCGCAATGCACACACACCATTGGACGACAGAGGACCGTTAGCAACAGGAATGATTTTTGATTAGACGGACAACTTCTGGAAGTGATTAAGGCTAGCTCTTGCCAAAGTTGTCCAATTCATGTCAAGTTAGGAAAAATTTAATACATAAAATGCAAAGTTTATTACAATATAAGCAGTTAATCACCATTTGTTCTCGATTTATCCTTATCATGCGCTGATATCATGTTTTAGTTTCAAAGTCATTCCTCCTGCTTGGGGTTATTTGAGATCCGCCCCCTCCGAAACGTGACCAAATCGAGGCTAATGACGTTAACCTCTCACCTCAGAAGTCTTCTTTGTGTCATCTTACCCAAGATATGCTTGAAAAATATATACAATACGGTAATATAGATATATATTTTTCATTTCATTACGAAATAATCATAAAGAACGACATTTTGTGTACATTTGCCAACGTTGACTGAATGAGTTCTCGCGAGATCGGGCGAGATTAGAAAAATCCATCATGGCGGTCACTCAGACGACGAAATCTTGATTTTCGAAGGTTTCTTGCTTTTTCCCGGTCTATCAATGCAAAAGTCCGAGCCGCAACATTAATTAACAAAGGTTGAGAGTCCTGGAAATGATCTGGAGTGATTTGGAGACGATCAGGATGTTTATGTAGCCATGCCGCTGTTCAAAAGGAAATCAGGTAAGACCGGCCTCATCGTCCTCTTTATTTTCTTGTTGAAATTTTCCAACACTCCCAAGCTAAGCTAAGCCGTCTGTCTTAAACATTGTTGTCGTAATGAAGTATTTATGTTTCTGCATTTATACTGGAATGTTCCTATTGGTTTTCTTGCTAAACATGGGTTAGATCGACTCAGCAAAACATGTTCATTGAAACCGACCTCTCCCGTCAGCGGCCCCTGGCCTAATTTCGTCCGAATCATCGAATTATATTCTTGCGCACAGAAAGATCATCTGATCATGATTTAGAAACCCCTCCAGGCAGGGAATCTGGCATCGTGTCAATGCTGATCCTGTGTATGCAGAATGCAGAGTTGTTGGATGTGAAAAACGCTATCAGCTTAGGTAAACAACAGAAAGCTTACAACGTTATACAAAGGAATGTGATTTGTGGGCGTATCTAGTTGATTGAAACCTTCAAGGCGAAAAGAGCCAACACTTCCTTCATCACTACATTGTGCATGTGAAAGATTTGCATTATCAAGACCTTTTGTAGCTCCTAAATCGCTAAGTTTTTGAATGGCGTATTTGCTTTTATACATTGGCACGTGTTGTCACAGTTGAGGTTAATAAACATGACCTTTGATACCTGAACCACCCAAACTGGTGGAGTGCATAAGAACAACCATTATAAGGTAAAATCAATACAACTTTCATTGATAATTGATCTACTGTTGATTTTGGTAGAAGCTCAACAGTCAGTAATTGCTATTGCTTTAAATAGGTTTTCATAATAGTCATTGTAGATGACACTAGACATTATGTCATCTAATTGAATTAGTATTCAAACAGGAAGTGTGACATGTATTCTGAATGTACAATGACCCCTCTCTTGTACAGACAAAAAGTCAGCCAAGGATGCAGCACAGAGGAAGACAGGGTCAAACCCGGCCTCCCCAGCAAAGAAGGTCGAGGGAAAGGCCAACAATGTCCCACCGACTGTACATACTGGAGGAGCCAGGCCCAAGATACAGGCTGCAAAGATACAGAGTGATAGAAGTCTTACCCAACAGGACACACAGTTTGGAGATTTAGGTGAGGCTACAAGAGTTACAATGTATGTTCAGTGGTGTAGATGGTGTAGTGGTTTGGCTAACAGACTTTGGATCAAGAGGTCACTGATGGAGATTGCACTTTTACTGGCATGCCCCTCTGTTTTGCTTGGCCAAAAAAAATTGTTTGTGGGTAACGGGACAATCAAGACAATAGTTCTTGATGTACGTAGCCCCACAGATTTCCTCTCCCTGTATTATATCAGGAATAAGGGCATTGCAAGCCATATTCCCAAATGTATTACAGGTTATATCAACTTACCCATACAATCAGACAGATTTCGATAGGACATATTAATTGTGACCTTCTTGTAGTGGTTCAAGAACCTACTGAAATTCTTTTTTAAACCAACATATTCAACAGTAATGATAAGATGGTATATTAGGTACAAAAGGAATTGTTTGGAGTATTTATCAATATCCTTGTCTCTGATCAGCAGGCTGTTCATGTATATTATAAGCTTATACATTAGAATGTGCATAAATTATGTTAATGACCCTAGAGACCCCCATACAGGTGCTTAAGACAGGTTGACTAGGGACAATTTCTTACAAATCTTTGTCATATCTCTTGAATTTCTTTGATGGAGGAGCATGCCTTCAGTTTTTGTCTTGCTCATGAGTTTGTTTGACTTTTTTTAAAGAAAATTATAATTCTAATTGTTTACTCACATTGTTTACAGGCCATTCCCATCAAGGAGTCACAGGGGTTCATGGCAGGTCACGGCTCAACATAAGTCTGGAAGAACTTTTACATGACAACAGCGCCATCCCGTATTTCATCCAGTACATGGACACTGTGGGGAGGCAACACATCATCAAATTCTGGATTGAAGTAAACAGCTTTCGCAGTGCAGCTTGGACCAGAATTCGGGCACATACCCTCACCTCGATGAGCAAGAGCTTGATAGAACAGACTGGGTCCCCACCTTTAGATAGGAAAAAATTGCCAACAGATTCGGACACAAAGACATCACAGTTAGCAAAGGACAGTAGTTCTAAAGAGAGACTAGAGGACGCAAATAGTAATGAGGTCATTCAGCGGGCTCTTCCAGTGGACAGAAATTCTGTGGACTCGTTGCAGTCATTACAATCAACAGAAAGCGTAAGGACTTCACACAGTGCAATTTCTAACGGGGACTCAAGTGCAAAGGACGATTCTGGGATGGAGGACAAGGAAAGTAAGGGAAGAGAGACCAGTATAGAGGACAGAAGAAAGAACACTGAAGGTGACAGTTTAAAGAAAGGTAAGGAAATATACCTTCAGGTTTTTTGATGGTTTATGCACACATTTATTAGGAGGACATTACTCTATGATGCTTTCAGTAAAAAGGTAGCGGTTGGTAGCCAAATGAAGTTTTCAAAGCACATGCTTTTCAGTGTCATGTTCGTTTTTGCTGTGAATAGCTGTAATAAATAAATAGTGTAAACATTTCATCTGTAGATCGTGATAAAGAAAGACCATGTTTTTCCGTTTTCCCCAGCCATAGAAAGAGATGCCGTCAGTATCTATTCCAAGTACATAGCGCAGGATGCAGCCAAACCCATCGGAGTCACAGATGAGATGAGGAACTCTATAGTAGGTCAGTAGGTCTCTGTTAGTCAGATGTCTATAAGTATAACATGTACAGAGAGTTATTTATACCATTCAGAATGTCTGTATCCTTTAGTTTAGCCTAGTACAAAATGTACATGTATTTGTGATTTATTTTTGATAGATAAAACACATATGATAGGTTTGAAGAATATGTTCATTCATTAGCTAGCATTGTATTTAGTAAGTGAATTATGTTAGGTAGAGAAGATATCTCCCATTGGTTGTATCATAAGTCTTGATCACGTAGCATCAACATGTTTTCCCTCTATGTTCCACAGCTAAGATCTGTAGTGAGGACGGCCATGTGGACCCCAACTGTTTCCAGGAGGCCCAGGAGTTTGTTGTGAAAGTCATGGAGAGAGAGTAAGGCAGCTATATGATTATATCCTTCATTTCAGTCAGATCTACAGCATTGATTTTTATGAAATCTGTATATTTTGTCTTATTGCAAAGCTATGATCTACAGCATACATTCATCCAACATGGTTTCTTCCTTTTACAGGCAGGTCTTGAAATATTTGAGTTCTGTTTTCTGTAATACATGTTCTTAAAAGTCAGCCTGTGTTCTTCTAGCTTGTCACATTGAAAGTTGTTTACATTTCTTTGTACTGTCCCAAAATGTTTTGCAACATATACATTGCAGGTGGGTATTTCAAGCCCTGACAGGGTTTGTTCCCCTCTTGAAATTCCAAAATGTTCACCAATTTTCCAGGAATGTCACTGTCAATTATGTCCTTTTCCTTATGTGGTGTATAACGAACCATCTCCATATTCATGGTTAACCAGGAATGCCACAAATTTCCCGTTTGAAGTTCAAGTCCTGGAGATAGTGGTGGAATTTAAAGTGCATACATTAAAAAACCTTTAAGTCTAACTTCAAAAATAAACAAATGGTGTATTATTATTAACTATTTTGAATTAATCAATTTCTCTTTGTATATTGCAACAGTTCATAATTTTTTTTGCAGAGATACTATTTCATTAACAGTTTTTGATGATGATGATTTAGAAGTTCTTAAATGCTGTCCAAAGAAATTCTACCTTTAAATGTAGCTCATTAGAGAAGAATGTGCCAGTAAACAAAAAATCGTTTAGACTCACTATTTATCCCAAAATAGATCTCGTTTGTAAAGGGAGTGTTCAGATTTACAGTGGGAATATTGAACTACGCTTTGGCTAAACTGTAAACAGTACAAGTGCCTGGTGTTGATAGGCACACCAGACCACAACACTTGGTTTTGTTGCCAAAGTGCAGCAGAGTTGGACTTATGATAGAGCTGGTACAAACTGTTTATCCTGGCTCAAGTCTTTGGACTGTGCAGTCTCCCTTAATGGAATTGCTGCAGACTGCTGTTCTATCTGAGGTACCGGTAAACCCTCCCCCTGTGTGGAGGGTTTCTGAATGTCCCAAAAAAATTTCAAGGCTAAACTCATTTAAGTCTATTGAGAGTAACTGTTTGGTAAAATCTAGTCTTCCCACTATAAGCAGTGGTTGAAACATGACCCCTAAGAGAGTGTAAGTTTTCGGTATCATTACTACTTAAGCCAGGTGATAGGATAAGAGAAACAAACACCTTCAGCTTGGATTGAATCTTGTTGATTGATGGGTCAAGAAATGTGATACTTATTGAATAAGACTATACACCCTTAGATGATTGCAAACAACTTTGTTCTTAAGACCTACAAAATAATTTTGTCAGAAGAAGATGAAAAATTTGAATTTCGATGAAGACACAATTATTAGAAGATCAAATGGGTAATACTATGACATTTGTTTTTATGTAAAGAGGGAAGTAGAAAATATAAATATCTTTCAAATTCAAGGAATGGTCTTATTAAACTTACAATGATTGCAAGTGATGATGTACAAGAAATTGGAGTTAATAAAATGGTCACAATAGACTAGTGGCTACAATGTGGCTAGGTGGTCCTAATGCAGAGATAGTCCCTAATACAGGTTTGACTATAATAGGAGAACAGTGTGTCATTAACAATCTGTGTTGTTTTGATAGCCACTACCAGTCCTATCTGAAGAGTGAGTTCCACTGTAAACACCAGATTGATGTACTGACCAGCGGTGATGTCTTTCTTGCTGACATCCTGTATAATGACACAGCCTTGTTCTACTTCATGGAGGTATGTGGCAATGATCACTCAAAGACAAAAATATCATTTTTCCTTCCCATTTTAAAAGTGTTGAAAGCCAATGAAGGATACCATAATTCCTGCTTTTTTCTCTGTACTTTTGTCTTCACGGTTTTCAAGGTCACTTCTGTGGTATAAACTTCTCAAGGTCACTTCTGTGGTATAAACTTATCATTACCGTTATCTTTACTGGAATTGTGACATCATTTATCTATTTCTAACTTAAAAGAGTGAGCTACAAACCAACCAATCTTTTCTTTTCAACAGTTTATGGAACAAGAAGGAGCCATGAACCTGCTTCAGTTCTGGCTGGCTGCAAACAACTTCCAACAGACGCTCGCCTCCAAGCAGGGGCAGTATGACGGGCTGGAGGCACAGAACGATGCCATGGTGCTGTATGATAAGTAAGGACACAACACATCTTCTTACAGATCCTGTTATATGTTATTAATCTCCAAGCAGATCTTTTGGGCGGCTGCAATGACAGTATGATATCAAATTGGCCAGACAGCACTACCTTTTGCAAGACAGTATCCATTTGCCACCCCCGAGTTGGGCAGGCGTACAAAGAGATACCAGAACAAAAGAGATTTTAAAAAAATGCCTAAACTAAAGACATGCAAGGAATAAGCCGAAGCCAAATCTCTGCTTGGAGAGATCATTGTAACTGTTGAAGGTAGTACTGTAAATTGATTTAAGTCCACAGGGAGTTAATTTTGTGGTAGAAGGAGAAAGGAGGTTGAAAGAAGCATAGTAATGAAAAACATATGTTCGTGTTATGATGAAAACATAAAACCAGTGCCAATATTTCAGATGGATTTATAGCACATGTGTACATGTGTTTTAATTGTCACCACAGAGAAGCAAGCTTGTAGGTGCAAATTTTTGTGAAAACATGTTCGTTTTCCTCCCACAGGTATTTTTCCTTGCAAGCGACCACCCCTCTTGGCGTAGACGAGGCCACGAGATTTGAGATTGAGAACCAGATCTGTCGTGAGGGAGGCCCCCTGCCGAACTGCTTTGAGACACCGATGAGACAAACCCTCACTACCATAGAATCTGTAAGTCCTGATGTTCATCACCAGTATCTAATATATGTCCATATATGTTTTTGTTTGGAGTTAGAGCTTTTGATCCAACACAAAGAAGTTCTTTGTGGATGATCAAAAGTTCTAACTCTAAACATGTAACTACCAACACAGATGAACTTTCATGATAGTATATCCATATACATTATGGAACAAGAAAAGCAAAGCTACAACTGATGATTTACATGTCCCACCCCGTTATGTTTTCCAGATGTATTTCCCCACCTTCCTGACCAGTGAGCTGTACTTTAAGTACCTGAATGAGCTCATCAACACCATCAAGACCGACGTGAAGAGCACAGGCAGCCTTCCCTCCCCCAGCCCACATCACAAGGTCAGAACCATTTGCATAACAAGCATTGTACAAAAACTATGACATTTTTCTTCCAAGGCAAAAGAAATGAACTACACTGTCCCGGTGTTCTAGCCAGCCTGATACTTATTTTTTCCAGCATCTCAATTTTGTCTCATCATCTCATCTTGACAAGCACAGAAGGCGCGTTGATCCTAGGCGGTCTGGGAGCATGCTTTGCCCTGAAAAGTTTGAAATCTTTGCCCTTTGAAATGCTATTTCCTGCATTTTGAGGGGCAAATTTTGCTGATAGCGTAAGCTTAGTTTAATCATACTGGTATTGCTTTCTATATCTTTACACACCAATTTTTTCTGTAGAAGATGATGGATTGGGCAACTGTTTTGTTGGTCATGAACTGCACAATTCAGTAAAATGATGGAAAGTTGGATGCTGGCTAGAACACCGCACCATCCATGTCTTACTAAAACGTGAACTTCCTCAGGGTCATCGACGCCAGGGTAGCAATGCGAGCAGTGAGGCTGGGAGTGTAGGGAGTTCTAACACCACCACCACCAACACACTGTTAGCTGGGGGGGTCGTCCACAAGCAGGAGAAACAGAGCACCAAAGTCATCAAGGGGCTGGACAACGACTTCAGGATAGACCCTCATCAGTTCAACCCTGACCAGCTCTGGCAAAGGCCAAATGTTGGGTTAGTTACAGTTTCATTCTATGTTGTAGAAGTGCATTGGTCACTCCATTGCTTTTTCAAGGACACATTTAGTAGCCACCTAGTGATCAGACACAGAGTTGCATGTTGGACTGGTTTTGTAAGGTGTTCGTAAATGATAGATAAACTCCTTCAGCAACATGGTGCTTAAAATTTGTAGCTCTGAAAAGGTGTTCACAAGTTTCAGACATTGAACCACAGAGAACACACTGTTCAAGCATCCCAGCGATTTTTTATTCTGCACAGTGCCATAGTCCTAGTCTTCCAAGCAAGCCAAAGTCTTGTGTTGGCTGCTTCAGTACAGTATTGTACAACAGTTGTAGGCATTGCCTGTGCAGGAGTGTGTGGTTAACATTTGTGCCTTGTTCCCTGCATGCACATCTCCACCACAAAATGCCAGAAGCAGTGAGACAAGGTGAATCAGGACTTGCCTATTTGATATCTGTCCTTATTCCAAGTTTTTCTGTCTCACTTTTTTTTTAAATAATTTTTTTTCAACTTAACAAAGTTCATCTCTCCCCACCTTACAGTTTAGAACAAGTCACATTGTATACAGAGACTTCTTTTCTCTTGCTGTAGTCACCCCTGTATACAGTAATATCCTTTTTGTCTTGTTCATATGTTTACATTTTGGTGTCTAATTCGTCAATGTTGGTAGTAGTGTTGGGTATTGGTTGCTGTTGTTGAATGCTGTTTGAGGCTCTTTTCCAGTTCTACATTTCCCTTCTACTGAGGGATTTCTTCTAGCTAAGCATTGGTAAACTTAAAGTAAGAAGTGACTCTGGGAAATGAAAGCTATTACTATGTACAGTTCCATGTATGCTTACATGATTTCAGGTATCTTATGCTTACAGTTCTCTGTTTTACCCAGGAATATGTCTGTAGGCAGAATGAATGAGTTGGGCCAGTTTATACCAGAGTATGAAGTCCTTCCAGAATCTGAGAGAACCAAACAGTCTTCAGGTAAACATGTTCTTATTTTTGAAATTTTCAAACAGGAAAATCAAACAAGTTTTACAAACGTTTTAAACATCACAAGTACAACTATTCATTATACATTGCTTTCGAAGACATAACTAGCTCAGAAATGTTAAGATTTTTTTCCAGTACAGTTTTATGCTAGATAAAATGATATACAAAATGTACTGGTACATTAGAAAATGTGTTTCAAATAGATTTTCAAGGTATTTATTGGAATACAAACACAACACACAAAATGGTATGCTATTCACAATGCTGTGTGGGATTGATTGGCATAACATTGACTTGATCTTCCATCTCTTAGCGTCCAAATTGTGGAAAAAATATGTATCTCGCGAACCGGACGAGGAAAAGGAGGAGATGGCGTGGAAAATTGCTCAGATGATTGTGTCGAACATCACGCGGCAGACGGGAGGCGAAGAGCTGGATTCGCCGGACTCCGACAGCTGATGTCATGCTAGCAAGGGCGCAAAATCACCTCAGCGTAAGACATCCTGTCTCCGATTATTCTATCGTTTGCAAAAGAAAAGTAGCCTAAGTAGGAATTCTATTTCCCAGTTAAATGAAGTTAGAGAAATGATATTAGATACAAAAACATATATTACCATGTATTACACAACAGTGAAAATTATATTTACAGGTAATTTGTCTATATTAGACTCAAGAAATGTGGTCCAAAGTGCGATCAGGATTTGTAGACATTGTTACATTGGATAACCCCACCCACCTAGCTACATCTATCTCAACTATTACAACCGCAATTTTCAAGCACTGTAGGTTCTATATTCTATGTATAGTCTAATAAGTACCGTCCTAGTTTATTACGTAAAGATTTGCAATTCTACATGGTGTATGTATGTTTGGTTGCTGTCATAGCAATATGGGGTAAACAGATGCCCAACAGGGACTGTGTTGTAGTTAGTAAAAATTTGTGTATCTTTTTTAACCATCATATTTTTTCCATGTATTAATAGTTCATGGTTAAGTTGCCGTCACATCTTGAGTACTGTTGTTATATTTTGATGAAGTCTTAGCTGACATACAAAAAGCTGAAGATTTTTAGATACCCATCATTGTGTGCAAGTTTGTCAATTCAATGCATTAATATTCATAATAGGTAATACTTGCTGCCAAGCTCCCTTCACCTATAGATCCGTATTCATGCAAATTTTTTTCCAGCACGTAATCACATAGACCAATCGTAGTGCAGATAATATGTTGCTATTTGCAGATCTATTTATGGTATTCAAATTCAAACTTAACTCAGACTAGAAAATTGCAGCTGGTCTTTTGCAATGACATTTGTGCTGATTAATTTTTTAAGTGAGAAGATTTGAGGAACAAATTATCATGTGAGCAGTAGTTGCTGCCAGTTACACAAAAAAAAATCTTCAATTTTTGTACAAACAAGAGAATGTCTAGTTCTGAATCTTGCCAGGATGTGTCGACTGAACAAATAAGGATTTAAGTTTTGGACTACTTAAAAAAGTTCTGATGAGAGCAGTGTTAAATGGTTGTTAATTGTGGAAAGTGTCAAGGGATTCTTGAATATTTGTATGAAGTATTCATACGTTTCAATGCAATAATTACTCCATGATATAGTGTATGTATGTTAGTGCGTCTAAGTCAATTTGTAACAAATTAGAAATTCAGTTCCTTTGTTGTAGAGTTAGTTGAATGGCAAGTTGTGATTGGTCATCTAAGATTGGATATCTATGACATCAGTGTCCATGTTTGTACCCCTGTGACAGTAAATTTCTTACCATTTTGCCTTATTTTGTAAAGGTACCGTGGCACATTTGGTCATTTTTCTTTTTTACCAACCAGATACTGTACACAAGACCAACAGGTGGGTCATCAAATTATTCATTTGTATGCGCTGTCACAAATGTAATAAGCCAATCTGTGATGCAATGTCAAATCAGTTGTGGCCACCGTTTTTGAGACTAAAGCCATACCTTGTATGTAGTATTGATCTTTATTATACTGCATATTTGACTGCAATGCTTTTGAAACCATTGATTCCACAAGTTGTAAACCAGAACTGCTTTAGGTTTGTGTGCCCATTTATGGTGCAATCTTCTCAGTGATGGTAGTACTTATTGATTGTGATTTTATTGTTAAGTTTCATGTATTTCCCAACTGTCTGTACCCTGTAACAAATTGACTTATCTCCAAACGTGTACAAAAAAAATTTTAAATTGTGCATCAAAGAGAGATGTATTCACAATGCTTGCTTCATATCCACACATTGCAGTTGTGAACTGTGATTGTAAAGTAATTAAGTATTATGTACATTTATAGCCGTTAATCTTAGATATAACTCATTCAGATATGTGATAGAAACATACATACACTAGCATGGAAGGAGACAAACAAGAGTAGATTTAGTTTCTAACATGATTTTTCTGATTTCCAAAGCTTTTTTGTACATAGTTGTACAAGTGTACAGTAGTTGTAAATGAACAAAAATGTGATTATTATACATTACTTGTGGATATTTTTTCAGGAAATACAGCATAATAACAGCCAAACGATATAGATGAACAGCAAAATATGATGTCCTGTAGTGTCGACAGATTTTTATTAATTAAACCACTGAAAGGTGCGATCAGAAATGTGTGTGGTGTTGTTTATGTTGTGATTTATATTTACATCACACTCACTGCCTCTCAGCAAGGATGAACTAACTCCAGTCACTTCTACTTTCTCAAACCCTATGTAAATCTTTCTACCCGAGCAAAAAAAAACAACACACTACACAACTTAATTGATGCTACAATTTAATGGAATGAAATATAAGGTAAAGCAAAGGCTACTATTTACTTACCATCTTACTCTATAGTAGTACACAACAAGACGGCCTTACAACAAGTACAGCACAGTACTACATGTTCACCATAACACAAAAGTCCAGTCACTTGTATGATGGTCTTACAGAGCATTTACAACCTTCCTACTTACTGTTGACATTGATACACATTCTTCACAGGTTTCCTTATGAACAAATATTAAATAATGGAACCATCTATAGGTCCACATTTCTCATTACATGCAACTTATTTTTCAAGTCTACATGTATAAATACTGAAGACACTGAAAAGTGGGTGATGATCTTTCTTCCTTGACATAACTTGGGTCTTAAATCTGATATCCTGGGCATGTGTCATTGCCAGTCTTATGTCTTCTGGCTGGTGTCTCTGGACCGGTAAGTGATGCCGTGTGTCTTCAGTTCTCGTACGATGCTTGGCGGGAGACGTCCTGTTGTTGATATGGCGTAACAACCAGGTTTGAATCGATCTGAAATGAAACACAATACAGACATGAACATTGATCATGAAGATGGAATGTTGCTGATAATCAAAGGTAAGGCAACAGTAACATTCTGTCATAAGGCCAGCCAAAGACCATCCTGCACTTCCAGTTTAGCTTCCTAGAGGGCAGTTTTGTTATGGCTGAAGTGACTAAAAAAGTAACAGCCTGCCATGTTGCCTCATGAATCAAACATCATTTCATACATGTACCATGGTCATGCTTGTTGAATTACAAGGGTTCTCTACTCTAAAACTGCTAAGATGTTTACTTACTTATCCTCTGCCATTTAGCCACCCAGCTATCATCTGGTGACATCATGGAAACAACTCTGGTGGGAAATAGGAAAAAAATCATCACAACGAACTCTAGAAACATCAAACACATACCTCAGCAATGTAGGTACCGTTCTTGAGTATCATAGATTAAATCTGGTAATGCTTACGAAACTGGAGAGGATGTAAAGAATAGCTCTATGATACACGTACTATCTAATGAATGTGTGGGAAAAACAGCAAAGTGAACCTAACAACAAACAACAATGAATACATTTACTGATTCTGACCGTCATTTGTGGGTACGATGAACTGGCTTATGGTTTGTGCCAATTTTTACATTAAAAAAACTGAAGGTTTCATTGGTGGATGGCTAAACATTAAAATCAATTATAGTCCTTATATCTTAAGATATACAAAATTAAAACAAGTAAAATTGCTTTTGCTTACCCATCAAAATTGGAACTTGTGCAGTCATAGACAAGGTCCTTGTTTCCTTTCAGCTGCAGGTACGGTTCACAGTTGTCACAGCCATCAAATACAAACTGGTCTATGGTCTGAAACACACACAAAAAAGAATACGTACTTCTTGTGCACACATTTATAGAAGAAAATCAAGCTTCACAAATTACAACATTGTAACACGCAATGCGTATTTTGCAGGACAAAATACCTTTTCAACAATCAAGCTCCTTATTTTGAATGTTTCATACAATAATGAATAAATTATTTTATGTACAGTAGACCAGACCACTTTACAACAAGAAAGCAAATCTTTGACCAAACCACATCATAAGTATCTCTAGTAAATGTCACATTGTCAAAACTAAGGATAAATGATTTTAAATGCATGATATGTTATTTCCATGTTAGTAAAATGTTAATGAAAAACTAAGGACAAGAACTGTTCCTGTAAATACTATAGGACTGGTGAGTTCCCACATAATGAACCAGACATCCAAATCCCCACACATCTGTTGTCAATAGGTGGTCCTTTCTGCCGTGCCTTTCTTTGTTGGCAGTGGCCATGAGGGTTAAGGGGTCAATGCTAGGGACACCCTTAGGTCAAGACAGGTCAACCTCAATTCTGAACAGGAATGACACTGAGAATGGACAAAAGGCAAGTAGAGTTTGGGAGAATTAGTTCACTTCTTACCTCAGAAAAAGTTGAAACCACTCATAGTTTTGCTTTTACGCTAGGGCACATTTAATTATTACTATTCTATATCAAATTTTGTGTTTTGACATCTTGGCAAGATGTAAAAAATTGAACCCAACCCATTGATGGTTAATTAAACGTTTGTTTTCAAAATTGTGAGTGCAACAAAGTTTTGAAATTTGTAATTTCAAATCTTACAAGGTTTGATGCTATTATAAAATACCACAGAAAAGGGTCATGCAAATTACAATACTGTTTGTCTGTAACTACAATGTACCTACAAAAAACGAGCAAGGTTGTTGTTGTAGTTTTCCTCCCCTTAAAATTGTTATTGCTTCAGTCTAGACTAAAGATAAACATTCTGTTTACCTACTACAAAAGACAAATCCTGTAAAGGTTCACCTGTCACTGGTAAAGGTGTACAGAACAACCTAGTACCTACACAGTCTTTGTTCATTCCATTAATGCCTAGCAACAGAAATGCCTGTCTTAATTACGCGACCATACAATTTTGACCACTGTAACTTCACCTGGCAAACAGTGTACTTAACCTGGACTGCAAAAAGTATTATTGGATACAGTATGGTGTATTTTACATTGGCAAATCCTTGCCTAAAGATATAGACTGTTAAGGACACATGCCAGCAGGTCAAATGGTTACTGTCTGGATTCTTCCCTGTCTGGTAAGCGACCATATGATATGTCTTAAATCTGCCGCGTATGTGATGGCTAAATGCCTAGAAGCACTGCAAATCATGTACCACAAACAAGGTGTACTATATCTAGGTTTTTACTATGTAAAACTGGCTGTAACATAATGATGATAAGAGTGTCTGAGACAGTATTACACACCTGCAAGGCTTCCTCTCCATAGTATCAGTAGCAGGATGTTCTTGAACATACTCTAATACTGACTTATTAACCTAATTTGGCTGTAAACAATTATACACATAGATTTTCCTCACAATGTTTCGTCTCCTAAACAGAGAGACATCTCAACAACAAAAGTCAAGGTCAAGTGTTGCAAGTGGGGAGTGGGTAATGTGCCGCTTGTCAGCAAATTTCTGGGGAAATTTTTGGCTTTTTTTTGTACCTTTTTAGGGGGTTTTCTAGGGCAGAGGTAAGGGGGTGCATATTTGATATGCGAGCAGGATGGTAGGGGCCAACTAAGCACACACACAACACACGTCATTTTCCTGGTGACCCCAACTTGCTCCGGACCTTGACGCCTGTATTGTCCACTCCGCTGCTATTTATGTTTCGAGATCTGGCACCTCCATTGTTTGTGGGTCTTAGTCTAATGAGATCTGGTTCACTGTTACGTCTCAAATGCCGCCAGGGTCCTGAGCCTGACCTTGTGCACAATAGCAATTGTAGCCGACATTTCGCCGGCCAAATCTAGCCGAAATTCGAAGGGAAAAGGGCAAAAACGGCAGAATTTCGACCAACCTGGGCCACGGCGATCCCAGAGTCCACCGGGCGGGTTGGGTTACTGTCCACGTAGCCATGGCCAACGTGACCATTACACAAATAACCTAGGCCGGGTCTGTCATTACAAATGAATACTACTGTAGCCTGACGAATGACGACTAAATACAAGAAAGTCTGCTCGAAACAAAGTAGGGTAAAGGTCTTGGGCAGGGGTATTTACCCCTCTTCTATCCGCACAACAAAAAGAACAGCCGCGCTCTTGTCCTTCTGACTGTCCCTGCTGCCGTGACCCTCGACCTGGGGGGTTAAGATCAACTGTTAAAGCCAAGAATGCAGTCTGGGGATAATGGGGCTTCAATGCCCCAGCTGCAAACACTCAGCTCGATTTTCTCACGTGAACTTGACTTCCCCCTACCCTTGCCAGAGATCGCAAAATTCAACTGCAGGAGCTGTTCAGACGCTTTGACCACATACCTTGGCAAGCTAATCATCATAATACAACCCGGCAGCCAATGGCAACCCAATCCCAGGCTGATATGCAAATGAGGGAGCCAGCGGAACCTCTCCACCTCAAAAGGCTTTGTTTTCCAATCAGGTATTCCTGTTTTCATCAAAACTGACCGACCAAAAACGTAAATATTGACAACCAGAGACAGGAACGCAGAGAAAACAATAAACTGACACCTAGTATTGTTATTAATTAGTAAACGGTAAGACAATACAATCCCACAAGGAGAAAAAGTTGGATGTTGTGGCTGTATATATATGTACCTGCACTGTGACTACAGCTGCCAAGGTCCGGAACCTGTGAGTTTCCTCATATCAGAAATAGCTCTCAGTCAATTGATATTGTCAGATTTGCTCACAGGTGACATTTGACCTTGGTTTTGCTGATGGACTTCTGGAATTTTGTTCATTTCAACAAAAGGACACCTGTTTTACATGCAATTTTTTTCCATGTACACTATACAAGTACTGAAATAAACACCCGGCTGTGCCACAATTTGGGATCAAGCCCATTACAACCAGGAAATTACATTGTAGACTAGTAAGAATAAGTCAAATGCTGCCTGAAAGTACAGTTTTAGCTCTATCTTAAAGCCTGCATTTCTTGTTGGTTTAAAACTTTGAAATTTAGTTACGTAAAAATGCAGGAGGAATTTGTATCAATATCACCTGACTTAGGTCAAACTAAAATCTGTGAAAGAAAAAAGGACAAGTGTTAAACCACTTGTCATTTTTTATTACACAGATTTGTGCCCATCTTGCCCTCAAAACTCAAATAAACAAAATAATAATAAACAAAACAAAATAATAATAAACCAGCGGTTCAGAATTTTTACAGGTGTCAAGGAGCTTACTATGTAGTAGATATTGTGTTATGTTCATTAATCAAAATAAGGAAGGTACACTCTAGCAAAATTTCTTGTTGTAGTGGGCCCTGACACTCACAGTCATGGAACGCTGTCACCAAGCCATGATGCCAACCAACTGACTGATATCAACCAACCAAGCAACCAACCAACTAACTAACTAACTAAAAAAACCTAACCAAATAACGGACATTATACACCCACTAGTAGTAGTGCATACCAAATTACAAGTCTGGCAAAAATTACATTAAAACCGCATTCATAGACCTGGATCACAATATCATCCACAAGTTCCAAAATCCAAAACTTACTAAAACCAAGGACATTATGTGTGTATAATGTCCTTGCTAAAACATAGAAAGAAGTTCCACTGCAGTACCAAGGAGTACCACCAGGAAGCCAAAAATATTAATCATTTCTTTGGCAGGCCAAGACCATAACCATGTGCCAAATATCATATCAATCCATTCTTAGTTGTGCGTTCACGGTTACCTGCCTACCGTAGCCATAAAATCATTTGCTAGTATCCCACAATCATAACTTTTTGCCCTGGAGCCCCCCTCCCCAAGCACTTGAAGTTACACATTTTTTATTGTAATAATTTGTAGAATGTATAAGGTTATGGTTTAAAAAAGTTAACTCCTAATTCAAGAAAACAGCTGTATGACTCTACTCTAGGAAGGAAGCCGATAAAATCATAAAGATTGGCCAAATTAATTATCTAAAGAGGGAAAACCAAAATAAATTATTCTCTTGTCAAAAAAGAAAGAAAGTTCGTAACACATCAAAAGCTTGTACCTTGATCAAAGAACACAGCAGGCAAGCCCGCAGGTTCCTCATCTCCTTGGGTACCGTCTCCATCGACATCTTGGGTCCCAAAAGTTTCCTAAAGACCTAGAGTTAGGAAAATAAGACACGGCAAAAGACAAAACTTCTCAGCAAAATGGCTGTGGTATCCCGCAGCGTGCTTCCGACAGAATAGGTTGTCTTAAGGAAAAATAATTAGTGCCTGTTTGCTGCAACCCAATACTCTACCTCAATTTCTATACAAAAGTCAATATCGACATATGGTACCATATCTTTTGTTTTTTTAATTTTTAGAGGAATATTTTGAAGACTTTGGCATTATTAAGGCAAATAGATTACGATACGTTTGATAAATTCTTGTAAGGCTGTCTTTATGAATACGGCGAACAGCCGCCATTGGATCCTAATAAAAACATTGGGACATGCTAGCAGTGAGCTGTACTGATGATTGTCCTTGTGATTTTTGGTAAGTTTTCATTAGTTTCTGAATATCTAAACTTTCGTAAAATATAGTGAAGCTGTGTAGTAGGCTATGAAGCAGTGTTCGGCCATATCTTAGTCCCGATCATGTTCAATTTTGGCAGGAATTGCCAAACATTTTGGACAGAGACATCATGATGATCAAGTTTCATCCTCATCATTTTTTGGACTCCATCAACAGATGAGGTCCATTATGGAATGATGGGGCTGATGTGGATTTGCTAAATGTACACATTTCTGTTATAAAAGAATTGTTGTTGTTATGTTGTTTACTTTTGATATTATGTACCATTGATATTTTAGAGAAAATCATGTTACAGTGAACAATCTTCTAGAAACTTGGCTGACCCCATGTTGTTAATGGATGGGTGCCTGCTATTTTTGGCTGGGATGTCTCCGTATTGGGTTGAAATGGCCAGGGCTGCAAGGCTGTCAAAATAACTAGATATCTGGCTCTATTCTTTGTATCCGTGAGAAAGAGCCAACGTATTAAAGTTTCAGATTGAATTTATAGGAAATGGTATTAAAATGACAATATTCAGAGGGAGGACTGCTTTCTGAAATTGCAGTAATATTTTTACTATTAAAGCCAAAATTATTAACGGGTGTGGTCGTTATTTCTGCCCTTGTCAACACTTACGTTTCATCATGGAGGTTCAGCGTTGCAATTACTGAGCATGACAAGCATAGCTTTTATCTTTTTGCCTAAAACTACCTTAACATCATCATCATCATTATCACCCTTAATTAAATAGGTAAGAATCATTATTAGTCAGTAGTAAATGATTTATTGTAAACTTCATTAGTAGGTGAAAGATCAAATGCAAAAAAAAACATTTATTGTACATTTATTCTTGTCAAAAAGTTCGTAACATGTATAATTGTTATTATTTATTGAGTGCCTCACCTTCTTCAAATTTCTTTCTTTTGTCAGATTTTTCCAGCTTGAAGTAACAACAGACATCCGGCATGTTCTGTGGGAACCAAGCTAGCGGCTACAGTGTGGCCAATGGCACGCTGGATAACATGTGCTTCGTGGAAGCCATCGGGATCATTCCACACGTCCTGTTCCTCATCGCTGCCCTTCCCATCCTGCTCCTGGGTAAGGGAAAGTCAGGAATTCAGCTTCCTTCCATTACCCCCAGCATGAATTCAACTACACGTAATTGATGTGACTATTGCTCATCTATAATTTACGAAAAGATATAATAACTAGAATCTAAAGTAAAATCACATCAGCAAAGGCTGGGGATATCTACATTAATTTTTTCAAGAAAATCTAACAAATGCCTCACTCATTGGATTATCACATCAAGGACATTATAATGTATAATGTCCCTAATCACATACAATATTGAATGATAATTAGTAAGGAATGTTGTCGGCAACTCTGGCATACTTATCAATGACAATCAATTTGTTATCTAATTGTTTGCATGAGAAGCAAAAAGATCTAAATTTCATCTTTGATATGAAATAGGACTTTTGGCTAACCACTTATTATTGTACTAACATTTAAACAGAGCATGGTGTGTGGATATGGAAGCCAACACTGCATGGTCCTGACATGCATGACTCCAACCAGTGTGGATAACACTGCCAGTCAGTTTCTCAGGTAAGAAGACTTCTTTTTAACTTAGATGCTTCTAATGTGTGCTATTGCTAGATGCTTATTTTCACATTTTCTCCAATAAAAAAAAGTATAAGTATTCTTTTTATACTTCTGCCAGGATTGTAATTAAGTTGGAATTATGAAAACCATTGCTGTGCAGTGTTATAAATTTTCTATTTAAAAAAAAAAGGTTGACATTCTTCTATTACGTATTAGTCATCAATATCTGACTGTTACTTGTCTACAAGAAAATGACTTTTGAATGTGCCATTTCATGTGACGTACAGGATATGGCACAGTCAACATCAACCACAGTTCCTGGCTGCACTACCCCGGCCACAGCCTGCGCTGGAGCCTGACTGTCCTGCTGCTGTTCTTCCTGTCCTGTGAGATAGCCGAGGGCCTGCTGTCTGATATGCACTCTACTGCGTCATACTTACAGGTGAAATTAGCCACTATTATATTCTAAAACTCAGTAACACAGCTGCATCGGAGTTGATTTTGATATTCAATAATTTTCTGTATCTGTGTACATAAATTATAATCTGGATAGCCTGTATAGACCCTAAGTAAGAATGTGTTAAATTTTAATGAATCTTAAGATTCTGTAACTAAATGTGGCTGTTTTACAAAGTTGTTTGTAACAATTAGTAAAGATGGAAATATTATATTTCCTCCCCCAGTTGTATATACCTTCGGGTGTAACGTTTGTAGCGACGTTAGTGACAGCAGTGTACTACCACAATGTGGAGATGTCCAACTTTCCCAAGCTTCTACTGTTGCTGCTGGGATACTGGGTCATCGCAATCATCATGAGGATCCTCAAACTGTGGAACCTGTATGTACAAGGTAGGTCAAAACTATAGCAGGTATTAAAAATATTGGGTAACTCCACTAGAGCTCTGTGGCTATGTGACGCATGTGGTAGTGGGAATAACATACATGTACATGTAGCCCTTTGGCATGCATATAAATGTAGAAGAAAGGAATTTTCTTACTATGTGATAGTACAAAATATTCAAGCATTATTAAACTTATTATTATACTTAACGTTACTCATGTTATGTCAATTTCACTACATTTACTTTGAACAAAAGTCTATTCAGAGTTCATCTTTTGATAGTTGTACATGACGTGTACACATAAGAGACATTCTGAGAATTCACAACTACATCCATTTTTGGAAGCCTTGTTTGGAGTAGAATTTGTATGTGCATGTATATCATTCTGTACTAATCTTGTTTGTAATCCAATAGAATACCCTTAAGCTTCTATATGTAGATCTTTCGAACATTTTGGTATGGTACATTGTAGTAGATATGGTCGTAGCAGGAAACTGCTATAACAGGATCCTTAGTTTCAATCCTAAAGAAGTTAAGCAAATATTTGACTATTTCAGGCCAAGGACGTGACATTTGTAGAGAGTGACAGCTGCTGCCTATCCAAATATTTCAGGGTTATACGGTCCCATGCCTTGCTCCCAGGTCAAATCTAGACCACCCCAAACCCTGCAATGTAAATCATTGGTCACTTCGTAAACTGTAATTTGACACTCAAGGTTCACAGATATTCAGACCTCATCTTGACCTACAGATATGCAGCAGTAACCTTTTGTTTACATTAACTGCCAATTTTAGTTATGAGCTGTTTTGATTTTTACATACTGTCTAAACACTTTTCAGGACAACTGGGTTGTTTCATACTGTTTTCCCAAGTACCTCTGAAATTAACACTTATTACATCTTTATCAATACTGGTCTTGCTCATGCAGATTTTAGTTTTGAAGACACAAACAAGAACATTTTTCTTTGGTTATTTTGGTATCAAGGATGACTTGGCCATTTGTATATGTTGACTTTTAGGTCTGAATGCTCTCCATCTGCGACTGGATCTGAACTGGCTGATTGTGGCTATCTACTTCCTGTACATCTGTATAGAAATCAACTTTCTTGTACAGAAGGTAAGAAATGGTTCCTGTATATTATAACTGTTGCAATGGCTCTGAATGACCAGTGTACAGTATGAGGCATTTTTATGACTTTACCTCACATCATTGATGAAAGTCCTTGTTAAAAATGTACATGTAGTCGTTAAGCAAATTGAATGACAGGGTAATTTATGAAAATTTGGTTTGCAGAGATATGCCTTCTTCAAGCCGCCATCCAAGGGATTGGACATCCCGGAGGACCTACAGCAGCAGGACATGCACTTCCACCAGCCGTATGTCAACCTGCTGTCCAAGGTCACCTACTGGTGGATGAACAAACTCATGGTTCAGGGATACAGGCAGCCAATCAGCATGGACAACCTAGGGCAACTGCCAATGGTAAGGCCTGTTACATTGAACTCATGGTACACCAGTACAGGCAGCCAATCACCATGGACAATCTAGGGCAACTGCCAATGGAAGGGCCTGTTACATTTACCTGTAATTAATGATGCTGGAGTGCAAGCAACCAATCAACATGGAAATACAGTAGTAATTTTTAGCAAATGATCTGTACTTTAATCTACTTTTTTGTGTTTCCTTAGCAACACAAAGCACAGGCAAATCTAGAAAGGTTCAAGAATGTCTACAAGAAAGAAAAGGTATGTTGTTGTTGGATGAGTTGTACATGTAACAGTTGTCTTTATGAACCAAATTCCTATTTGAAATTGTCACCTTGCACAAATATATGTGCCTGAAAAGTAAAAATACCGGCAACATGTATATCTACATTTTATAAGCATTCCATCATATCATTTTAAACATTTCTAGAGAATCTAGTAAGTGTGAACTCAAACATGTTTTTCAGGATTGCAGTGTTCTTGTACTGTATTCACAAGCCTTGAATTATTCCTCTTGACACAACCAAGTTGTCTTGTGGGAAAATTCAGGGCATTTTGTTTTCCTTATATGTTTCTTCCAACAGATTAAAATGTTAAGAATGAAATACAGAAGGAGTGGTCAGGACTTTTTGGTACAAAAAACAAATTATTTTTCCTATGGAATATGCAATACACAACATGTACATGTACTATACTTACAAGAATACCCTACGTGTTCTATTTAACTGTTATTAGCACTAATGCTGTAGGCTAAAGCAATTCCAGACATGAGTAAGCTTGTATTCACTTGGTTCATGACTCGAGTAGATTTGTTGTGTGCAAAGAACTTTGTCAACCCTTGAATTACCTACGTGATGAAAGTATTCATGGCAAAAAGCTTTAATTTCATTGTTTTGGTAATAATTTCTGCAACACCCCTATTTAGGAGAGAGCTGCCAAGGCAGGACAGACCCCGTCCATCTGGAAGTGTTTCTTCAAGGCGTTTGGCGTGCCAATCGTGTACAGCTCCATCTTCCGTTACCTTGGTGATCTGTTAGGGTTCATCGGTCCTCTGTGTGTTGCTGGGATCGTCAAGTTCCTGGTCGAGATCCGACAAGGAACCATTTCCTTTCATGAGTCTCAGCAAGTCAAGGTGATTTCCATTTAATTTTGATTACTGGTAACTGTATGTGGGAAAGAAATGTTGACAATGTACATGCAACCTGTACATGTATGTGTGAACGATGAAGTGGATTTTGCTCTGGTCCTTTGCAATTATATTATTACGAAAACCTAACACAGAACAGATGTATTTTTTTATGCAGAAAAGAATAAAGCTTCTTACTTTCGTATTTCTTCATGAATCAGAACTTTAAATTCCATTCCTCCCATGCAGTATGTAATTAATTTCCTGTCCCTCGTATTGCCTACAGGAGCACTATTTTGTTTCCCTGGAGGAGTTTATGGAGAATGGGTTTATCCTGGCGTACCTGTTGTTCATGGCCACCCTGCTGCAGCACACCTTCCTGGAGATGTCCTACTACCTCGCCATCAAGGAGGGCATCAATCTCAAGGCTGGCATAGTAGTAAGTCACCTTAGTATCTACATGTATTAGGATGAGCCTTCTTTGATGAGAAAAGTATACTGTCTTAATAACTAAAATGATTGCACGTAAACGGTGGTAAGATGTTTATTCACAAAAAAAACTATTTTTTCTTTCCTTCATTTTCTGCTTCCCATTCATTCAGCCCTGGCATTGCATAATGGATCCTGAAAAATGGCATTTAAGGGTGGCTACATACATTCACTTTGCACAAGCCTTAAGTTTGCATTAAAACCCCATATTCCTCCTCTCTTGCACACAGGGACTGGTATATGAGAAAACCCTTCGCATGTCCTCCTGGAGCCTGTCCAATGGGGACTGGAGCATTGAGCAGATCATTAACCTGATGTCTGTGGATGCCAACCAGATCATGCTGTTTGTGTGGTTCTGTCCTCATCTCTGGGCCATGCCTGTTCAGGTGAGTGGAGATGGGAGATATTTTCACTCATCAGGGATCTTTCCAACAGTTTACCTGACAATTCTAACTACAGATATTCCTTTTATAGTGCCAAGTGCAGCTTTTGACAAGTGATGCATTTCAGGTATTGTCTCCTCTTTGATCTGTATCTGTATCTGTATAGCCGGTATAACCGCCTTTCGGCGTAACACACCAGATCAGGAACTGTCTGGACAGAACATTAAGCTACTGTCCACTGACTGTTAATTGCACTTGTCAAAAAACCAAGAGGAATTTTCTGGTACAATGTATACAATTTTTTTGTCTTTCATGATCATGTCAAGACCAATAGAAGAGTAGCTTCCCAGTAAATAGAAGTCATTATGAAGCAAGCTTTAACTGTAATTTCTAACAAAAAAAGAAATTACTTATCCAGATTTTTGACTGTACAACTCCAATCTTTATCATGAAAGTTCATCTGTCTTGGTACTACTTGGTAGTAATCATAGTAAAATGTTGAACTTTATTCCAACACAAGGATTACACAGGATTACACAAATTTTCGACAACGACTCCAGTCTTTGTCACAGAATCAAGACATGTTTTCCTTTTTGTTTGCCTCCAGGTTGTGATTGCCATGGTGATGCTGTACTACCAGATGGGTTATCCTGCAGTGATCGGTGCAGCCATCATCGTCGTGCTGTGTCCTGTACAGTACCTGGTCGCACGGCAGATGACTCACATGCAGAAGGACACCATGGACTACTCCGAAGACAGGTTCAAGAAATTCAACGAGATGCTGAAGGTAATAGACTTACTTTTAAGTTCTGTAGCTAACTTACATGCTTAGTCAAAAAAGAAGTGACATTATAAAAAATTTAGATTGACTACCACCATAAACTTGCAAGTAAAAGGCAAGTAACTGTGTAATATTTAGTCATAACCGTTACAACTGGCATTTTTTTCACTTGAAAAGAATTCAGGCTGACTCATTTTACAGTAGAAAAATTTATTAAAATCTGTTCTTACCACTTGCTAAAAAAAGCAGATTTTTAAAGAATACATCAAGTGCATTTAAGTTTGCAAGATTTTTATCTTCGCAAACTCATCTCCTTGCGAACTGTAAAATAAATGCACTTGCAGTAGTAAGGATTGTAAGCAGAGGTAAGGAAACTGTCTTGTTGTTGCCTTCTGCAGGGCATCCGTCTGCTGAAGCTGTACTCCTGGGAAGGCATCTTCTGTAAGCTGGTGGATCGAGCTCGCAACCGAGAAATCAGCAGCATGAGGAAGTCATCTATCTATCTTGTCATCTCATGTGAGTTCTTGTGTTTATTGAAATACATGAAGCTAAAAACGATACAAATCAGGTGCGACAAACCTTTACTTTACAAACTGTCATCCCAAACAGCAATGTGTCATCAGCATGATAATAAATATTTGCTGGTCTGTATGAAAACAAGGCAGCCTCTAGATTATGATTGTAATTATGTCCTTCTAACAAATTCCTGTTGTTTTCCAGTGTTCTTGACAGCAGCTACTCCAATCATTGCAACAGTAGTGGTAAGTAAAACATTGTACTTCTCTATGATCAAGGTGTTGGGACTGTGACACCTTGCATACAGTTGTATTGCTTAGTTCAGATACTTGTGTTGTCTGGAATGGAAAATACACTACAAAATATCATTTTTCTCTCTGCACACTAGTACTTTTCTGCATAAATACCACCGAGCTAGATGCATGGATTAACACATACAGCCTACACATAATGAAATGTGTAGAATATTACTTTTCAGTAACCATCCCTGTTTCCTCCCAGACCTTCAGCATCCATCACTACATGTCTGATGAGGCCCTGACAGCCGGCAGGACCTTCGCCACCCTGGTCCTGTTCAACATCCTGGTGGTCCCTCTCTTCAACTTCCCCATGGTGGTGGTGGCCATGGTCAACGCCATCATGAGTGCCAAAAGGCTCAGGCCATTCTTAGATATCCCAGAGGTAAAGTCTTAAATGCATCGGTGAAGGTTAGACATCCAGGCAATAAGATATGCCAAAAAACAGTCACTCAAGCAACTGGATATGATATATCATGTGATGATTTCCAGTTGCTTGAGTAACTTTTTTTTGCAAAAGTCCTAAATGTTCCACTCTTTTAGTGAATGGATAATATTATACAGTTCTTTGTTGCACAAGCTTGAAATGCCTTGTCACAGTATATTTTCATTGTCTTTTCCCCGGCATTAGGTGGACCGTGGATTTTACCTGACAGGGGAGGATGAACATGAAGATGCACAGGACGTGCTCATCACCTTGCTCAGGGTCAGTTTAGGTGTCAAGTTCAATGAACAGGTCAAGTTCATTAAAGGATTAATGATGGTAAATAGTTATGCAAAGATCAGCTATGCAGCCCAAAGTCATCTGTATTGCTTTGTTGCGATATCAAGAAATAAAAAATAGGAACAATTATTCTATCATGAGCATGGCACTTTTGATACAAGAAGAGATTCTGCTGCCATGTATCTGCCTTTTAACCACTTCATTTCCTGCTGGGGACATTATGAAGAATGTTGATATTGCATTCTATATTTATGTATGATTGCTTTTGATTACAATTACTAGTCCTGTTTTACAGATGTCTGGCATCCACATGAAGAGCATCAAAAGACAGAAGTCAGGCAAGATGGTGCCAGACAACTTTGTACTGGAGGTAAAAAAAGAAATTCTACAAATACAATGTACTAGGAAATGATACAAGACTAGAGAGATGTGTATTGAGAAGAATGCTATTTTTTTCATTGCCTGATGTGCCTGATGTTACTGATGGAATTTTGTTGTACACATTTTTAAAACTTGTCCTGTTTCAGGTTACAAATGGACACTTTGCGTGGGACCTGTCATCCGATGCTCCAACTACAACACTGTACGACATCAACTTTAAAGTCCCGAGAGGTAACTGTCCCTATAGCAGATATCTAAATGAAATTCTAATATCAATTAGTGAGAAATTCATGCCTCAAGCAAATAACCTTTTTAGCCTATAAGTCATTTGGTAATCTGTGACTGTAGACAGTATCAGTGTCTATTTTCATTCTATCTGTTTTCTAGGTGCCCTGACTCTTGTGATTGGTCCCAATGCTGGTGGGAAGACCTCCCTGGTAAATGCTATACTTGGAGAGATGAAGCTACTGGCTGGGGATGTGGCCTGGTGCTTGTAAGTACACGTTCCACATACAAGTTCCTCTAGTTTCAGCTAGATGTCAACACATTGGGTTCTCACATTTCTGTTCGCGCTACATGTTCTTAGTGTTGTATGTCTTGATCTTTTCTAGGGAAAAGAACAAAGTGTCCTTCCATGCCCAGAAGGGCTGGCTGTTTAATGCTAGATTGAGGGACAACATCGTCTTTGGACAACCTTTTAACCAAGCCAGATATGATCGTGTCATCTCAGCTTGTTCTCTACAAGCAGATATCGACATCCTTCCTCAAGGAGACCAGACTGAGATTGGAGAGAGGGTAAGCTAATCATGAGGGCACATGACAAATCAGACATTTTTTCTATTTAAGATCGTCACTGTCCTTTTCTGCAGTAATACTGAACTAATTGAGTTAGTTCAGCATACTTAGTGACTCTATTTCAAGGTGATTGAATTTTCCATAAAATTTTGTTCCTCTGTGTCCCAGGGAATCTGGCTGACTCCAGGACAGAAGAGACGTGTGAGTGTGGCCAGGGCCATATACTACAGCTCTGACATTGTCATCCTGGTAAGTTCAAAATATACAGGCAGAATACATGAAAATCTTTTTTTTATTTTTCTGTTATAATTATGATTTTTATCTTGTTGCATTCAATATAGTTTTTGTTAGACAGTGTCTGATATTAAAGCACAGCTTCATGACACCTTGATCTTCTCTACATTCTAGGACGACCCTCTGTCCTTCCTGGATGTACATGAGGGAAGTCACATGATGCAGGAGGGCATTCTGGGTATGCTGCGGGAGGAGAATCGCACCGTCATCTTAGTAACCCACAAGCTGGAGTATCTCAAAGAGGCAGATAATGTAAATATTTTTTCTCCTCCATGTATTTGATATTCCTACTTATGGTTTTCAAGAGATCTTGTTCTATTGCCTCATGGTCCCCTTTGCGTTAGTTCTGTCAGTATTTTAAGGCATAATAAAGTGTATCTGTTGACTGTTTGTTTTCCCAGATTTTGGTGATGAGAGACGGTCATGTGACCCACCAGGGTACGTTTAGTGAGATCACCACAGAGGACCCGTCCCTGTATCAGATGTGGAAGAACACCATCAGGTGAGGTGGTGAACATGTTGGACTGATTAGCAAGGTTTATGTTATGAGTGAAGGGGTGAAGTCTGCCATCTCTGATGGTCATTTTTTTAGCTTTTTGCATGCTGAGTTGCCATGATTGTAATGATCTGGAGGAACCTGAGTGTTAAATTTTAGATATACTACTTTGGGTATACTTTAATCAACAGCCAACCATTACATTGTTTTACCCTACTAGTATTCCTCACTGATTTAAAAGTAACTATAATGTCTTAGTACAGATATTATTGTGTTAATGTATTGGTTTTCTGAACTTGCCAGCTCGCAGGCTCAGCAGGAGGAGGAGGAGAGGAGGAAGGACCAGCGGGGGCTGGAGAAGAAGTATCTCCGTCGCCAGGCAACCAAGACACACCACAAGGAGGAGGAGGACCTGTCAGGTTGGAACAAGTAGTATTAAGTCTCTACAACCTGTTGTTCAAGAATTTGTTGTTCAGTACATATCAATATCATTAGTACTACTCAACTCACTGCCACAATTGATGACACCTACAGAAATACTGGATATTTTCACAATGTTTTACATGACATACCTGCCATTCATTAGTACTGTGATTCTCTTTGATAACACTCATGTTCTGTGTTAAGAAGCATTATTTTCGAGCTGTATTTTCATTCAGTTTTTTTACTACATTCACTATCGATTCACTGTATCCTGAATAGTGTGATTCTATGTACATGTACTAACCTCTCCATTTCTGCCCCCCTCCCCCATCAGAAGAACCTGTACATCAGCCCAGTACACCAACCCTTTGTATACCAAAACCAGAAATATATGTTGGCAAGTTCAAAGCCATTTGATACATATCATTTCAGCTTCCTCAAGTTGTATCATTCTTTAGTGTATTTCGGCTTGTTAGTTATTTTGGGGTAAAATTTTCATCATTATCATTCTTTGTCCTCAGCAGACAAAAAGGGCCGCACCCATGAGTTATACATTGGCAAGTTTCATCATTTATCATGATTGTATTTAATATTTATTGCACATCAGACTTTCAGAATTACATTTCATTTTACTATGCTGGGAAATATGGTAATCATGACCCCTTCCTTTATTCCGGCATGTTTGCAGATGAAGAGAAGAAAGTACATGATGTCTACATTGGCAAGCTCATTAATTGTTTTAGTTAAATGTGTATTTTCCTTTTTCTGGCAACATTTTCTCAAGTTGTATTGAAGTTCCATTCTAACCTTTCTGTCCATTTCTTCACCTTGGTATCACATTGATGGTTCTGTTTCCCTCTGATATCCACATCATTCACTCATCCACACACCAGATGATGACCACAAGGTCCACCATGAGGTGGTTTCTATTGCGGAAGTTCCCATCAAGAAGAAAGACCAGGAGGACAAAGACTCTGGCAAAGGGTCCAGTGTGTCATCTCAAGACCTCCTCAGTTCACCAAGTACTGTTCTTCTGGCATATCCATGTTGGCCACATGTACACGTCTTGCGTTTCAGCTGACTTTTAGACTAATCCCGTCTTCTGTACCATGTCTTAACTATTTTACACTTTTATCTGCCCTTCGTACAGTAGCCAGGACTTGTGTTTGAATGAACATTAGAGTTGCTTGTCACATTTCACAGTCTGATTTTAAAGGGACACAACTACATTGTATTTCATCATCAGCATTATCATCATTTTGCACTCAGAAAGCAGTAAATGAAATACAAACCATATCATTTAAAAAAAAAAACACAACATATATTTGAATGGTATTTAAAGACTGTTCTATAGTGTGCTCTATAGTGGCAGTTGTTGATGATTGTGACACTGATGACTGTCAACTCTGACATATTTAGACAAGTAGCTACAGTATAGTTTAGAAACTATGCTGCAGATTTAGATTGCCCTGCATTCAAGTCTTGTTTGTATCATCCTACAAAATTGTTGTCTGCAACTTGTCCTGATGAAGTTGTCTTTTATTCCAGTAATGACTTGCTGTTATGTGTTTCAGTTGCATCTTCAGCTAAAGTAATGATGGTATTTACATGTCTTCATGTTGTTTGTACTGTCTCACCAGGATATTGGACTAGTCTTTCAGAAGACAATATGTTGGAGATGCTGTGCAGTGTGCAGTGTTCCTATGTTTCATTGTTGTTCTTTTATCATCACTACCCTTCTACTTGAGTCTGAAGTCTGTGTCCCTTCCTCGGATAAAACCTCTAGGCCATGAAAGGGTCTCATGTCCGAACAAACATAAAAATACTTGGCTATAGTATTACAATGGGCTTCATGCCACCATTAGAAACTGTGACAGTTTCATAATTATGTAAAACCAGTGTATTATAACAAGCACAGAACTGCTTGACAAATTTGAGACATGCATACATGTATGACGCTTATAGTTGATGTAGTCTTTCACTCCGTTTTCCTCCATGCTTTCCTCTACCTCTCCCATGCTACACTCTTCTGTCCACACTCTACCGCTGTAGCTGCTGAAGGTAATTCACTCTAAAGCTATTAGTACCCCTTTCTGAATATGGTTTTGCCCTGTCCAATCTAGGAGTAGTACTTTATAAAGTAAACTAATCTTTTCATCTCACCCAACAATTATTTATAAGTGCTAATTTTGTTGATGTGGTTTTTCACAATCTGACAAATTTTCACAGTATAACCCAACAAAATAATTGGTAAAACCATATTCTTGTACATGTACTACTATCTATAGCAAACAACAAACTAAGACAGATGCCATGACAACTGCTTTGCAATGCAAACTCTTACAGAGGCTAACACTGTGCATTTAATTGCAGCTGCTGCAAAATTAGTAGCCAGTTTAATTGACTGTATAAAGACTAATTTGCTTCTAGTATGTTCCAGTCGTCACAGAAATGGAAAGCTCTTTGAAATACCCTCAAGGGTGGATACTGAATACCCTTTTCACTCTGGGACACTTGGATCATCTACTGTCATTATATCATATCATCTAATTCATTGTATTATGTGCTGTCATCATACCATGTCACGTAACAACCACATTTTTTTGCATTAGCACAAAATGTCATTATCATATCTCAATGTATTGTGTTCCGTTCACAAGTTACTTGACAATGTGTGTAACTGTTATTTGTTTTATGCGTTATAACTATGTTGACGTGATTACATGTAACAAGTTGTGTTGTTCATTATCATCACAATGCAGTGTGCTATTAGATGGATTGCATGATCGACAACTTAATGTAGCACATTTCATATACCTTCAAATATCACAATATTTTTATGGTGTACATTTTTTATAAAACATAAAAAGATATTTATGGTCATAGACCATGGTCATAGACCATAAATATCAAAACCAAAGCCAGTGGCAATCTCAATGCTACATACCAGTGGTCCCAGAATGAACCTATGGGGAACACCCCCACCTTTTTATTTCAGAGGAAGCTGAGAAGAAACAGATGGCAAAAGACGTGATGTCAGTGCCCATGTCTGCCTACATGACATACATTTTGGCGGGCGGCATTTTGTGGGTGGTCATCCTTCTGGTGATCAGTATTCTCAAGCACGGTGTGATGGTGGCTGGAGACTTCTGGCTAGCTGAATGGTCATCACTGTGGATGAATGGAACGGTAAAACTACACATAAACATCAATAAACCTATTGGTCAAGCTTGCTTCAGAATACATGAAAAGACTGTCAGCTATTTCCATGTATTAAGATTTAGGGTACATTTACCACATCCTATTACAGTACATTTGCACTAATAATGTAGCTTTTGTTAGTTGCACAGAAACTGAAAAAGGAAGTCTGGAAGCTATTGCATTGTATTTATTTATCACAGTCACAGTAGCATGAAAAACTAAAGACACTACTTCTTCAGTAGATCTTTGCCCCCTAAGATAGATTGAAGTAACATGATACACTAGTTTTGTTTGGTTGCATTGGCAGGCTCTGACAGAGGATGAGTGGCATTACTACATCTACGGCTACGTTGGACTGTCCTTGTCGGGAATCTTCCTGGCGTTCCTGGCATCCATCATCATCGTGCTGGCAGGAGTCCAGGCCGGGAAGAACCTCCACAAGAAGATGCTGAGGAGAATCATCCTGGCTCCGATGAGGTAGTACTACATGTAGATCTTTTCATCAATGTTGCTCATTACAATGTGTATATGATATAGGATTGGTCTTTGAAATAGAACAGATCAGGTGTTAGAAATTTTGAAATATTTGAATATCAAAATGAATGGAAAGTTGCAAATACCTAGTGTGTAATACGTTTTAAACATTTAATGGTTAAACTTCCTCTACAGATGGTTTGACACAACTCCATATGGACGCATCCTCAGTCGCTTTTCCTCTGACACTGCCACCATTGACCAGGTAATCTTGGCTTCATTCTAGTTTCATACTTTCTATTATCGAGTATCTCGCTGTAGTTTTCTTCTAAGCTGTGTGACACTGTGTGTTTGTGCATGTTCTCTGTGTCAGTCTTTCTTTGGTATTCCTTTATGTTTGCCCTTCCAAGCCATTGCCTTTAGTGATTTAATATTTTCTATTTTTTCTGACGTTCTGTTCTCTGCACCTTCCCTCTGTAGCAACTCCCGACGACTGCAGAGTCTTTGATCCGAACCTTCCTGCTGTGTGTTGCCGCCCTCCTTGTTAATGCCATCGTCACTCCGTACTTCCTCATCCCTGCTGCTGTCATCCTCCTCGGCTTCTACCTGCTGCAGAAGTTCTTTATCCAATCCTCCAGGTAGACTGTCCTGAATGTTCAATATTTTGTAAGCTAACGATTAATCTGTGTTTTGTTGTGATTTCTTTACTGTAAGGTGGGTTCTTCAGCAAAAGTTTTGTAACTTAAAGGTTTTTTGTAACCTAACAAGTGTAGTGTCAGAAAAAAATGTAGTTAGAAAGATGGTGAAGTTGCTTTGACCACCACTGAACTTTTGGAATGAAAGTCTAACCTTTATCTGTATTCCATACATGTAAAATACACATACTAAATGAGGGAACATACTTTTAACAATGGGTCATATCTAGCAATTACACACATTTACATGGTTTGGTGGATAGATATTAGCCATTGTTGTCATAATGTGCAAGCTAAGAGAATTTGTGTGCTGTGTACTAACAGACGTCTTTATGGGGCTCTGCTGTCTTGCACAGTGATTAGTAAAAGGTATGTTCTGGTAGGGATGTTCCAGAGAAACCAAATGTTAGGCAGTAGACAGTTTGGTAAAATCTGTGTGCCCACTGTAAAACAGGATTACATGTAACAATAGATAATTAAGAAAAGGTCTTTACTTTTAACAAAGTGCCACGTTGGCTGCCTATTTTTTCATTTTTCTAGAACACCCCTTGTGATTTGTGATTTTCTGTCAGTTTCTCCCTATACCCTGCTTATCAGATTTGAGTTGCTTTTTCCACACCAATTTTTTGCTTGATTCACCAACTTACATATGTTTGTACAGAGTCTGTCCCCCTCTTTATGGTTTGAGCAAATCCCCATTTTAAGCAAGATTCTACTATTAATAATATTTCTTTGTTTGGCCTGAAACCAAACAAAAAATTGGTGTGGCCTTCTGCATTCTGTTGAGTAGTCTTGTGTTTTGTTCTGTTACAGGGAGTTGCAGCATCTGGACATCCTGACTAAGTCCCCTATCCTGTACCACTTCTCTGAGACACTACGGGGGCTGTCCACTGTCAGGGCATACAGGTCTGTGTGTCTGCATCTTATGTCATAATTACTTTTGACAGTTTGCTTTCTCATGTTCACATACAATTAGGGAAAAGCTGGTGCTTTGCCCCTTCGCTGCTTTTTTTGTCCTAAGAAGTTGCCTGGCCTAACCATGATATTGTTTTGCAGAATATTCTTAGTTTGAGTATTGTGTTTCCTGCTGTTGTTTAGGGATGAGAAGCGTTTCCAACAGAAGCTGAATGATCAGATTGACCAGAACACACTGGCCTTCCTGTTCCTGAACACTGCCAACAGATGGCTGGGAGTCAGGCTGGTGAGTTGATCCCACCATATACCTTTCCTGTCTTCTCTTCTGTTTTTTCATTTACATCATTGCAATGTATCCACACATTGTATTTCTCTTGGAATGCTATTGTGGTTAGTACCATGTTACATCATGATGAAGTTTTCTGTGACATTATCCTGCAGGACTATCTGGGTGCGTTTGTGGTGTTGTGGGCTGCCATGTGTTCCCTGGCAGTGGCTGTGTACAGTGACCTCCCTGTGGGACTTGTGGGTTTGGCTCTCACATATGCACTTATGGTAAGTAATGCTGGATGTGATCCTAATTTATCTGTCCTTTCCCCATTCCCTCCAACTGTACTACTGCCCCCTGGGGACAAGTAAGTCAGAATTCATACATCAATAGTGCATCTCTTTTTGTTTTCTGTTGAAGAATCAAATCTGTTATCCTTTGCTATAGCTGGTACTTTCTCAAATCACAGGTGTCCACTTACCTGAACTGGGGTGTGAGGAACATTGCAGATATTGAGATGCAGATGGACGCTGTCCACATGGTGTCCACCTTCTCAGAAATGCCCATAGAACCTTATAGGAAGGCAGAGGGTAAGAACATGTAATTTAAGACTTTAAGTGGAATAGATACATTGACTGATGAATATAACTACCCTGTAAGAAGAACACATGACATAGTGCAAAATCAGAACTATACAAAAAGGTGTGTGGTAGAAATTTGTTCCGATATGTTCCAGTATTGCATACACCATACACTACATAATTTTTCATCTGCAGATTTAAGGAACATGCATGGTATTTGCTCAGTATTAGTCTCAGTACTATGATACTGAACACCTGTCATTAAGCAGTGTTTATTGTACAGTGATTGTTAATTTGTTCCAGGTAATGTAGAGCCACACCGTGAGTGGCCAGGACGCGGTGAAATCGTGCTGGAGCATCTGTCCACGCGTTACGCTCCTGATCTGCCCGCTGTACTGAAGGAAGTCGACCTCCGTATCAAGCCTGGCGAGAATGTAATAAACTTTAATTAAGCCTACCGAAAAATTAAAATATTCCCTGGAAATAACAAGATGGCATGTACAGTATATACAGATTCAATGTAGTTTGGAAATTCCCAAACTCCTTTTGACTACTACATACAATAAACAGACGATCTGAAGTTTGTGAATTTTGTTTTGTAATTGTTATTTTCCAGGTGGGCATCTGTGGTAAAACTGGCAGTGGCAAATCTTCCCTCTCCATGGCTCTCTTCAGGATGATTGACAACTTCCAAGGTACTAGTCACCAAAGATGACTTCTCTGTACTTGTGTCCGCTTAATTAATGTATGGTAGTCCTGTATTCAACATATGGTTGTCATTCAAGGATACTTATCAGGGACATGTAGAGGGTTTGCATGCCAGAAAGCAAATCAGCTCCATGGAGATGAAAAATTCACTGGTTCAATGGAAAGCAAACCAGCACCATGAAAAGGAAAACATCATTGTTTCTATGGAATGCAATTCAGCACCATGGAAAGGAAAACTTCACTGTTTTCATGGAAAGCAAATCAGCACCACGGAAAGGAATACTTCACTGTTTCCATGGATTGCAATTCAGCACCAAGGAGAGGTAGAAATATGTATTACTAAGAGTCAACATTTCAAGGTATCTGCATTCTTTAGTGAATGGAACTGCAATGACATGTCCATATTTTCTGTCCAGGTAAGATAGTGATTGATGGGATAGACATCTCAGACGTCCCCCTGAGCACCCTGAGGTCACGTCTGACCATCATCCCTCAGGATCCCATCCTCTTCAGCGGAACTATCAGGTACAATGGCCATACTTTCTAAGTGTGTAAAACACAGACAATACCAGTGGGCTAGTCCATTGGTAGCACTGTGTATTATCTGTGTGTATCTGTATAGCTGGTATTACCACCCTTTGGTGTAACATACCATCGCAACTTGTGCCAAGCAGATAAGCAATATATAAGTCTTGAATGTGACTCAGTTGTGGAATCAAATTTGACCTACCACATGCAAAGTGAGCATTTTATCCACTAGGCTATTGCTATGGTTAAGGTGATGTTATTTCATGAAAGCTGTTGGTTTCAGGTTTAACCTGGATCCAGCAGGACAGTACAATGACAAGGAATTGTGGGATGCTGTGGAGATCGCACAGCTGAAGCCTCTGGTTGTCTCCTTCCCTGAGGGTCTCGGTAAGTCATCTATCATGTTTGTCTCTTCCATACAAGGGAAGGGAAAATCTTATCCCACTTTGGTGCCTTGATAGCTTATGTTACGAGAAAAGCAAAGCGACTTTGTATGTTCAACGCAGTGCTACAGTAATATGTTGTACCAGTATGAGATTTATATGTTAACAGTTGATGTATTCAGGTTTGAGAGACCTTCCATGGTCTGATGTCTTTATTTTTATTCCCCAGACACAGCAGTAAGAGAAGGTGGCTCTAACTTCAGTATTGGGCAGAGACAGGTAAAAACCATATTTTTATACTATATCATTTTTTGGCTGTATTCTCAACCTAGAATGGCTTCAATAGTAAGAAGTCTTGGTACACTGTAGACTAGATTGAAATGTCATGTTGGAAAGATATACCTACAGTTATCATTCCATTGTTCTTCACCCATGCAGCTTTTCTGCCTGGCCCGTGCCTTTGTCCGCAAGTCTCGTGTCCTGGTTATGGATGAGGCTACAGCACTAGTGGACATGGAGACTGTGAGTACCGTATATATTATAGTCAACCTGCACAGGGTTGTATGTTTTAGTGAAGTCTGGCAGCCTTTCTGTCCTGATTTTGAATTTTTTACTTCTTTTTCAAACCTGAGACTGCATTCATAAATACCTTATTTTAAACAGCATTCCAAGAGATTTCAAACACATAATTTTCTCTTCTACTCCAGGAAGCTGTGCTGCACAGAGTGGTGAAGACTGCCTTCACAAGCTGTACTGTCATCACTATTGCTGTGAGTAGCCAATTCCTTGTCATTGCTGGATTTTAGTCTCATTGTGTCTAATCCTTGCCCTTTAATTTCATACAAAAATTGTGTAACAGTACTTAAGTTTTGTTTTGTCTTTGCCCCTAGCATCGTGTTGAAAACATTCTTGAATGTGACCGCGTGCTGGTGTTTGGTGGAGGCAGAATCGTGGAGAACAACAAACCTAGCGTTCTTCTGCAGCAAGAGGACAGTATCTTCTCTTCCTTGGTCAAGGCCAACCTATAAACAACCAGCCACTTTGTTTAACAGAATTGACAGATTATGAGTGTGCTATGTGATGTTTTTCAAGTTGACCACAGGTGGTATTAGAAGCTTATCATAAATTTGATTAAACCCCAAAAATGTAATTCAATGTATGATGTTGATTGTAATAAGTCTTACTACTAGTACCTTGTTGCAATGCTTCAGTTTTCACTGATCACCGTAAGCCATGCCTTAACTAATATACTGTCTGCCGTATGCCTGTTGATATTTGTATGGGGACTTGATAAGCAAGGGAATTGGACAGTTGATTCAATTCCTGGTGTCTACAATTAATGACTGTTTGATAAATACATTGTAACTCAAGTCGTTCAAAATTGTGTTTTAGACCCATGGCTGAATTGTGACACTGCTAATTCACCTAATTTTATATATGAGCGTCTTTAGGTTAGTTAGAAATATTGTTCTCAACATTATGTAACTGTGTCTCTGTAGCTTCCAAGTTTGGCAAAAATGTTGTAAATTTCTTGTACAAGGTTCGCATGATGTGTAGTATCTAGTAAGTATTTTAGCTGGCAAAATACTGTTCCATTTTGTTGAACTGTTCTTTGTCTCTTCAGTGGGCAATTCACCGGAATAAGTCCAGGCTATTATATATAAGTGGTAGATGGTTTTACCAACTGGCAGATAATAGCAGTAGTTTAAAGTTGTAATATGATTATTAAGAAAGTCTGATATAGTATCATCCCATGACTGTTGCCAAAAATTGTTGCATGTTTTTCCTTGGGAGATGTTGCTGGTAGTCTGTAAGTACACGTGCAGGAGATACCATATTGTATCCAATATAGAATGTGGTTGACATGCTTTCTGGTCTTGGTTTGTGATTGAGGTAAAGAAAAATACAAGATGGCAAAATTTTGTTACATTAAAAAAAGGCTACAACTTACAAGGTCTGAACAAATTTCAATCCTTTCATTTGTTTTCAATCAGTTTTAGGTAGACATAGTTGATACAATATGTATGTCACAATTTATGTTATTTTTTCAACAGATTCATCTCATTATACAGGAACGTATTGTGTACCTTAAGACACTATAACTACTACAATGGCATCTACCAATGATTACTAAATGCTCCCAAATTGTAATTTCTTGGTCTTTTATTAGAAAACTTTGCAGCGATATCACAGAAGGAAAGGTTAACTGTTTTTCAAAGGTACATAAGAAACACAGAGGGAGGTGGCAGTTTATAGGGCTGATAGTTCATGAACAACCTTCAAACCTTGTGTCACCACAAAATCATAACAGTTCTAGTAACACTACCTATACAGGACAGAAGTGTATGTAATATTTAAATGAATGAACATGTACATCATCTACTGTGTATTTAAGTGGACAACTTACCACTAATACATGTTCTGAAAAGACTTCATATGGAAATTTTTATACCTCTGAACTCATTTGCATACAGACCATTTGGTGCCACCAGTCTTTATCACCATATCTTTATGTATTTTGCACATTTCATGGAACTAAAACTTGAATCAATGCTATATCAAGCAACTAAAACCGTACCACATCTTCTCTTTTAATCTCATCATATAGCTGTAGTACAGTTTGTACCATTACATCTCTTTCATATCACACATCAGGAG